TGCGCCAGGGCCAGCGTGGCCAGCTTGTAGGCCCGCAGCGGCAGGCCGCGGTGCTCCATGTAGCGCGCCATGGTGAAGAGGTGCGCGTGGCCCAGGCCGCCGGCCGCCGCGTCCAGCACGATCTGGTAGGCCGCCTCGAAGGCCGCGTGGTTCTTCTCGCACAGGGTCAGGGCCGGCAGGGCGCAGTTCTGAGGGTCTTTCATGGCGCACTGCAGGGCCAGGGTGCGGGCGCAGGCCCAGAGCTCCTCCCGCCGGGGCGTGTCCAGCTGCAGTCGCAGCAGCGTGGCGTGCGTGGTGCCCGTGACCGCCACGATGGTGGCTGCCTCCACCGGCGTGAATAGGGAGTACCAGTTCTGCATGATGTTCATCAGGGCTTGCGGGCCTGGCGGGAGGCGAGGGGGGATGCGGTCAGGAAGAGGGGTGGGATGGGTTTGTGTATGCCAGGGTCTACCTGGGCATTGCCATCTCCCGGTCCGCCTCTAGGCCACGCTGAATGGAACCTTCCTAAAAAAACAGGGTGGGCCGGAGTGGTGGCTCATGCCTGTAATCCCAGCACTTTAGGAGGACAAGGCGGAAGATCACTTGAGGCCAGGGATGCGAGGTCAGCCTAGGCGACATAGGGAGACCTCCTCTCTACAAAAAATACAAAAATTAGCCAAGCATGCTGGCTCACACCTGTCATCCCAGCACTTTGGGAGGCAGAGGTGAGAGGATTGCCTGAGCCCATGGGTTCAAGACAGCCTGGGCAACTTGATGAGACCTCATCTCTACAATAAATCAGAAAATTAGCCAGGCATGGTGGCATGTACTTGTGGTTCCTGCTACTTGGAAGGCTGAGGTGGAAGGACCACCTGAGCCCAGCAGGTCGAGGCTGCGGTGGCCATGAGTGTGCCACTGAACTCCAGTCTGGGCGACAGATTATTTAAATAAACAACTAAAATATTAGTCAGGTGTGGTGGTGTGTGCCTGTAGTCCCGGCTACTTGGCAGGCTGAGGCAGAAGAACTGCCTGAGCCCAGAGGGTTGAGGCTGTGGCGAGCTATGATTGTGCCACTGCACTCCAGCCTGGATGACAGAATGAGATCCTGACTCAAAAAAAAAAAAAATCAGGGGGCAGCTGGAAGGGGTGGGAACCGTGTGGGAGGAGGGACTGAGCTTTAGCGCCCTCTTGTCCCCCACTAGCCATGTTAGCCAGGCCAACCTCCAGACTCTTGTCCAGCTCTATCCCTAGCCTGACATTCCCTCCCAGGCTGGCCCTGAGCAGGGCTGGAGTCAGGGGAATGTCTCTGCTTCTCTCTTCCTGGCCTGCCTGGTGCTCTCCGTGATACTTGCAGAACCAGAACAGGGAGGTGGTGACAGGTCCCTTCGGGGCTCTCACCGATCTCCGTGGCGCAGCTGACCAGCCAGCGCACCATCTCCCTCCGCCGCCAGGTCATGGTGTTCAGGGTCATCCTCATCACCTGCGGGGGGAAGGGGAGACGAGGGGGTTACCCGAGTCTTGGGCTAGCCTGTTGAAGGCGTCAGGAGTCTGAGGGGCCCAGAAAGGCTTGGAGGTTAAGGTTGATCCCATGGGCCTGGGCTAGTGACCTCACCTCTCTGGGCCTCAATTTCTTCAACTATAAAATGGGGATTAGATACTGTACCTACTTCATAGGATTGATGTGAGAATTAAACAAAATTATGTAGGCAAGGCTCTTGGCATGGTACATGCTACTTGCAAGTGCCCAGGTGATGTCAGCCATTACTATTGCTGCCAGGGATCCTGCCTCAGGGATCTTACATGGGAACAAACCAACCTGTCCCCTCTTTCCAGAAAGTTCCATGCTTCATGTGAGCAGAGTTCCTCCCCACTGTAGCCCCAAACAAAGCACCCACCCTACAGGCCCCCCATCCTTCCGACCTCACCACCAATTAGTACCTCACGTGCTCCCCTCTCCCCTGAGGCCCACCCACAAGTCCTGCCCTGCGGACCCTGCCTTGTGCAAGTTCCTACCTGCTGGGTCTCCTCTCTAGAGCTCCCTATGTCCCCCATAATGGTTCTACCCATCACAGGAGGAGGTCTAGGGCCATTCCCACCCCTGTGTCTCCTCGTTTGCCTATTCTACCTAGAAAGGTCCTATCCTATCCATCCTTCAAGCTGGTCCCAAGCAGTTCCTGATTTTCTTTTTTCTTTTTTTGAGTTGGAGTCTCACTCTGTCACCCAGGCTGGAGTGCAGTGGCATACTCATTGACTTGCTGGGCCCTGGCGATCCTTCTGCCTCAGCCTTCCAAGTAGCCAGAACTACAGGTGCATGCTACCACGTCTGGCTAATTTTTGATTTATTGTAGAGATGAGGTCTGGCCAAGTTGCCCGGGCTGGTCTCGAGCCCACGGGTTCAGGCAATCCACTCACCTCAGCCTCCCAAAGCATGGGATTACAGGCTGAGCCACCATAGCACTTTCAACCACAAACACCCCCAAGGGCAGCTCTTTGCCTTCAAGGACCTTCCCCCAGGCCAGTCTCTCAATGGGGAAATCTCTCTGGAGACAGCCATCTGCATCAGCCCCACTCTGGAGTAAGCTCCTTATTGGTGAGCTCTGCCCCCGTCCTCAGTTTTAACCCCACCAACTCATGGTCCTTAGCCAACAGGCTCTGCTCCTGTGACCCATCTACCAGCTTGCAGGTCCTGCTCCTCCCCTTCAGTCAGCCCTCTTAACCCTCCACCCCCACCCTCAGTCACACCTCCAGAGGCAGGTGTTCACTCACGAGCCCCACGCCCCACGGGGGACCCCATCCCCTCACTCCCAGGACTTTTACTCACAGACCTTACCCTTCTGTGGCCCCACCACCAGAGGCGAGGTCGAAACTCAGGCCTCAAAGCCAGAGGATGGCATATCCTCAGGCCCCTCCCCCAGAGGGGCAGCTCACACTCAGGTCCTGCCCCCAGAAGTGAGGTTGGCACTCAGGCCCCGACCTCAGAGGAACAGCTCACACTCAGGCCCCACCTCAAAGGGAAAGCTCGCACTCAA